GGTTTTTGCGCGAATGTCCTCAATATTTTTTTTTTTTTTTTTTTTTTTTTTTTTTTTTTTTTGGTAAATACACTGTTTTATTCTTTGTCTGCCCTCCTGTTATCTCCCCCTCCCCCAACCGCCGCCCACTGTGAGCTGAGACACCTGAAGGCTAGACACAATGATCAACAGAGCACTGCGCTCGCCTGTCTGGATTCCAGCCAGATTTTTTTTTTCCCCTTCCACAATCAAGGAGCCTGCACGCAATGCACGGCAAGCCCCTTGCTCTGCTATGTGCAGATCAGACAGAAGTCTGAACCGTGCTGCAGAAAAGATTAAAGACAAACACAAGCCTTTCCTCCTTATGTCGGCCAGGCTCAGTTTCAACTTTGTTGTGATTTGCAAAAAAAAATAAAAAATAAGAAACTTTGTAAACATATATGCACATTATTGTACAAAACATATGCACACGCACACACACTCTCCAACACACTGTAACTAGGGACATCCAACGTTTCCCGTTTTCCTGTGATTTCTACTCTAGGTTTACAGTCAATGCAGTATTTTATGTTAAGTTCATGCATCACTTACATAATTGCTGTGTAGCTCTCAAATATACGTAAAGATTTTGTATGCGCATATGATATATTACATAAAGGCAAGTAGCTACTGTACAGATACCCATTCCTGAATGCCCATCAAGCTGAAACCTTACAAAATATTTGTGCTTAGAGAGATTAGCAAGAGCTCTGAGACAGTTTTATGATAGTTTTAAACGAGGCAGTAGCAAAATGCTTTGTGAATAGGTTGTCTTCAAAGCGAGCAAGGGGAGCATGGCAGGGCATTGCGCTGGCCTTCCTGCTGCCACAGCCCGGAGAAATGCCGAGTGGCCCAGTGCCATCGTGCCACAAAGTTGGGCTTGAGAATGCAGTACTCCCCAAAATAGTTGCTCTCCATTTGGTGTGGCTATGGGTGGGGTTAGCAGAGACATACAGGGGAAAGGCAGATTCAAAGCCTGTAGTCTGTTTAATTTTTAAACGTATGCTGTGCAGAGCGACCTATTTTCTAAATTCTTTGGAATTTCATTGTCTTGCAGTACAAATTATAGTGTGATAAACACAATGACTAATATTTGCTTTTCAATATGAACTTTTTATGAAAAAGACCTAAAAGAAAATATATTTTAAAACACATAACCACATGCACAACATGTACAGTGTTGTTAATTTACTCCCTGAAAATGCTTAAACTATATTTTAATCACTCTAACAGGTATCCTAATGGAAATATAAAAAATTTTTTTGCTTTTTTTTTTCTCTAATATTGCTTAGAAACACTATGAGAAAAGGAACCCAGCATAAGTATCCCATAAATTCAATCTTAAAAAAACTTCCTTTCCAAATAGCAGCGGAGACATGCAAACAAAAGATTGCATGTAGTGACAGCAATATCCACTGCAAAGTAAAAATTCCTGAATTGAGATGTCAGAAAAATTAAGTGAATGAATCAAGAGCTGTGGTCAAATTTGTATTTGTATTCCTACCTTTTTTTTTTTTTTTTGTAAATAAGAGATTTAATACTTTTGTAAAGGAACAATTTACACTGCTTATATGAAATATTCAAGAAAACACTACACAATGGTCATACATGAAGAGTATACATTTGTAAATTATATGTATGTACACATATTCAGTAATATTAAGGTGATATTTTCCTTTCTACTTTTCCTGGCATATTATGTTTAAAAAAAAAAAAATGTCACTTACTTCAAAAAATGTGTTTTGAAATAATGCCTGCAGCTAAATTATGAAGTGCTCACTTTCATTTTCTTAAGGTAATGACAAGGCAGTCATATTTTTATCCTTTCCTAAAGGCTGAAATCCTATGCAAATCAATTTCTCTAAACTTCAGAAGTGATTTACACACTAGCTTGTCTTAGCAGGGTATTTCAACTAGCAATTTATGCAATGTTTGTCAGTGTAAAAGTAATGTCTAATAATACAGGAGATAAGCATTAAGCTGGAGATTATGAATACAGAGTCCTTGCCTCCATGTTTAGTTCAACACTCTCCCCTTCTCCCAGTAAGGTCCCTTGGGTTTTGTGAGTCTTGGGCACAAAAGCTCTGCCTAGAGTAGGGAGGAGATACCTGACCAGTGCTGCTTTAAAAATGGCATTATCCTCTCCTGCTGTTGTCCACATACCTGAAGTTTGGAGCTGTGTGTTTTAGTTTTTTACAAGAAGAATTTATTTACCTTGTGTGAAAATCACTGAACTCTATTTTTTTACTAACTTCTTTAAACTTTTTAATAGTTGATGCTGAAATAATGCAGTCATGAAAGCTCATGCATATTTATGACTCCATTCCTTAAAAATTTGATATCTATTACAGCATGTCTCTTAGCCTGTGGCCTACATTTGGTTGTGCAAATTCCACGGTGCTACTCACACAAGCTTCAAGTTCTGATTTCCTTCTTTAAACTCTCCTCTCCCCTCTTCCCCCCATGCTTCCTGTTGCATTAGCTTGTTTGAGCCTTTCCTAGCTGAACCAGAGGTGTGACTTTTGGTCCTAGGAATAAAGTGCTGAGAATTACGTCCAAAACTTTCAAAAGATTTGTATTTCACTTATACCTTTACAGAGCTGAAGTAACTTGAGAACCTACCAGAAACATAGACAGTTTCAATAAGGTAACAGGGTCAAAGGAGCTCATGCATTACAGATAGGAAGAGAACTGCACATTGCATTTTTATAGATAAAAAGCACAGACTGATTTAATGCATACATATTTCTGTTCGATACTTTAGCAAACTGTTGCAAAGCTCAAACTAGAGCAAAGTCAAAACTACTTTCAGCATGGTACAGTTAGACCAGATGGCCACGTGTTCTTTTCTTATTTAGATGAGACTTTTCCTTTCAATAACATCTTTCTTCCTGACCTGCTTAAAAATTCCAGCGAATGAAATCAGCACAGGATTTTCAATTCTAATTGACCATGTGCAGAGGAAAGGCCAGTAGAGAAATCAGTAGGACCATTGTAAGGCACACTGCATCAATCTCTCCTTTGTCCTGAATCTTTTCTAGTATGAGCTAAAATAATTAAGTATATTTAATTTCTATTATTTGTACAGCAGCAAATCTATTAGCATTCAGGCAAAATTCATAGTGAGTTCCTCTTTTAGAAATGCATGTAACAAGGAAGATGTATGTCTGACACCAGACAAGCAAGTACTTGACATCATTTGATGGCCAAATATTAAAACAAAACAAAACAAAAACCCATAAAACTGGAAACAAACCTACCAAAAGAAACTCAAGGAAAGAATGAGCAGAAAGACTGAAAGGTGTGGCTGAATTAAAGCATGAACTGCTTTACTTTTGCTAATGAAGGAAGAAGATTTGAAGGATATGGTACTTA